TAATGGATATTTTTGGTTGCTATTGAAAATTTAGTCGATTGTTGAATTTATGTATGGGTCCAAATTAGGGACACTTAGGCCGACATTACCTGCATTTCCCCTACCATGTATTTTTAAGGCAACATTGGGGGTGCAATTTCAAAAACCAAATTCGGTCGTGGCATGAAAGTGGTCTGATTTTGATCCAGAGATGATGCATTTTAATTCTTAATACGCCAATCGATAGGAAATTTTTCTACGAACCTCTTAAAATTAAGACTTTATCAAAAGGTCACTATTGAAAATTGCACAAATGTGCAACTGTTCCTATGATAATTCAAATTATCATCGATTGCCTGCGAAATGCGCTTTCCCTAACACAGATTTAAAAATTGAATGTTCTAAGAAACCGAAATGATCTTTAATATGTAAAATTTCTAAATCTTAGATTTTCATGCATCGTCCATCGTTCTGGTAGCACTGTTATGCTTTAAGATGAATTGAGATGGTCACACACACGATAATGCTTTGCGCAAGAGCAAACCCGAGCGTCTGTTCACCATGGAGGTGTGGCTCAGACAGCGTCTGACTGGCATCCAGCGGCTGAATAAGAAATGCTCTTCCCCGGAAGCTATACCTAAGGTGGCAACCGTATCACGGCGGATAGGAGACCTTCGGCTAACCACCTACTGTCTCTGAAACCTTTATAATTGTTCAAGAAACCAACAGATAAAGACATCGAACTGATCGGCAACGACTTTTAGCGCAAAACAACGGACACGAATTGGATCATGGAATGTATTGACGTTAGTCCAGCGTCAACAACTCGCAACAACGGGCACAACTCGCCAGAAATCCTGGAACTGAGTGAAGTTCGTTAAACTTTGGAGAACACAAAGTGCCGTCGGGACAGGTACTACTATACTCTGGTATTCGAGGTGAAAATGCGAAAATGGTGAGCTGTTTGCAGAATTTTGTGGCAATAACGACATGGTGATCGGGGGTTCGCTCTTCCCCCATCGGCCAGTGCACAAATTCACGTGGGTTTCCCGTGATGGACACACCGAAAATCAGATCGAACACATCTGCATCAGCCGAACATGGAGACGGAGCCATCTTGATGTCCGGAATAAACGCAGCGGCGACATCGCGTCTGACCATCAACATTCTAATCGGTGAGATCCGCCTACGCATGGCGCGGATCCAGCGAGGGGAGGAGAGACTCGAGCGACGGTTCAACCAACAATCAATACGAAACTAACGATTTTAAATTGGCTCACTACTTGACTAGCCTATTGGTCCCAAGCAAACGATTAACGTACCCTATTCTAGTTGAAATTCTATTACTACACTATGTTTGTTTTGATTCGCTATGAAAGTTTGACAGATAACATCAGGGGTGTGTGGATTCATGCAGAACATGCAGGGGTGAGAGAAATAGCTTGGGACTACTCGGGACCGTTGTTCTGGTACTGAGTGAGCCAAAAATAATAATGATTTTCTTCGGGACCCAGTGGTCTTAGAGTTACCTCTATGGTTCAACACGCGCCGACTTGAAGATCCAGCGGTAAAAAGGTCTTTCGTTGAAGAACTTGAGACTCCCGCTGCGGACGTTCCAGAAGGTGGCAGCGTGAACGGCCATCAATAATGCCATCAATAATGGTCTTGTGTGGACCATATTGTCACGCTCTGCATCATCCTGAAGCAGGTAAATGAATTCCAAGGGACCCTTTATTTGATATTCATTGACTACGAAAAAGCTTTCGGCCGACTCAATCACGAGAATATGTGGGGTGCCCTGAGACGCAAGGGTGTCCCGGATAAAATCGTCAACCTCATGGAAGCGCAGTATCAGCAACCGGAGGAAACTAACGATTTTAAATTGGCTCACTACTGATTAGCCTATTTGTCCCAAGTAAACCGATTAACGTACCCCATTCTAGCAGAAATTCTAGTACTCCACATAATTTTTTTTTGATTCGCTATGAAAGTTTGACAGATAAAATGAGGGTTCGTGGATTTTTATATGTTTCGAGGGGTGCATCGATAAGCTTGGGACCGAAGAGAGTACCAGAGCTGAGCCAAAAAGTTGAGCACGTTTCTTCGGGACCTTCTGGTCTTAGAGTTACCTCTATGGTATCAGGCTTTCACGTGCAGAGTTCTACATAACGGAGCCTTGTCTGACCCTATCCGGGTAGTCGCTGGTGTGAGACAAGGATGTATTCTATCACCGCTGCTGTTCCTCCTCGTAATCGACGAGATCATGGTGGGTGCAATTGACCCTGTACCGAACCGTGAGCTGCTTTGGCATAGCAATGACTTCGATTTGGTTAATGATGTTGCTCTACTAGCACAACGGCGCTCTGATATGCAGAGTGAGCTCAATGACCTAGCCGAACGCTCCTCTGCGGTGGGTCTCACCATCAACGTCAACAAGACCACGGTAGCGGGGCAAGCAGTGGAGAAGGTCGAAAGTTTCCAATATCTTAACAGCCAAATAGCGTCGGACGGTGGGACCAAGAGCGACCTAGGTGCACGAATCAAGAAGGCTAGGGCTTCCTTTGCAAGTTTACGAAACGTATGGAGTTTAAACCAGATAACTCTACGCACCAAAATCCGAATTTTCAACTCGAACGTGAAATCTGTGTTGCTATACGCCAGCGAAACGTGGTGTGTATCAGCGGAGAACACTCAGAAGCTGCAGGTCTTCTTCAACCGATGCCTGCGGTATATAATTCGTGCCTGGTGGCCTCACAGCTGGATCTAGAATGCCGAGCTCCATCGTCGATGTCATCAGAAGCCGATAGCAACAGAAATTCGAGAGCGAAAGTGGAAGTGGGTCGATCACACACTTCGACGGGGCAGAAACGAAATCTGCAAGCAAGCGCTGGATTGGTATCCGGCAGGATATCGCAACAGAGCCGGCCCCAGGGGGTCATGGCGGCGGAGCCTCAACAAGGAAATAAAGCAAGTCGATAGGGATCTGACCTGGGCCCAGGTCAAGGCAAAAGCGAGCAGCCGCCCAGGATGGAAGTTTTTCACGTTGGCCTTTTGCACCACCATGGGGTGTACAGGACCCTTAAGTAAGCTAGAGGAAAAAAAATCATCAAAATTGGCGTTGACAACACCGTCAAAAAGTCGTCTCTTCTAGCAAAGATCGACCGTTCTAGTCGGAATTTTCGGTGAAGTGGAACGATTGTTCGATTGTTCTTAAAAATCTCAAAAAATAGAAAATGCACTCATTGACCAAAAGGGTGCTTCAATTATCACAAAAATATGGATTTTTTAAATTTGGAGCTAAATATACTTGTCCTTCAAACTTGGTTCAAATCGGAAGAAGTCAATTTAAATTTTTCGATTTTTCTTGGTCACTTGGCGCGTAATGACAAATTTCTACAAAGTAGTACAATTTTAATAAAAGACGATCTTCAGCTCTTGATCCGCCAAGGACCACGCGATCCTGCCATGAAAGTTATCTGGTGGGATTCGCAAAAACAAATTAAAAAAACGATTATCTGCCCTGGGGAACAAAACTTTTGAAAATAATGTTTTGGAATTAGACCCGAGTTCCAAACCCCAAACACCTCAAACGCCTATTCCAGCGCTTAAAGAAGGTGGTAAAAATTTTGTTCACAAATTTGGAAAAAGCTCAGAAATTTGCGAAGCAATTCGAGAGTTCCCATAATTTCAGTTTCGGTCTTACTAGTCCTATTGAGAATCAAGTTACTCGGGATTATCTGAATATTTTCTCTCGGGAAAATATTGTTGATGGATTCCTGGGGGACTGATTTGAAGGAAGTCAAATCCATAACTGAAAAGATTCAAAATATGAAAGCCCTATATCCTTATAAAAAAAACTCCCAGAGAGTACCTTGTCTTTCTTGGTAAAATTATTTAACAAATGTTTCCATTTGGCATACTTTCCCAATAAATGGAAAAATGCAAAATTGTTTCAATTTTGAAGCCGGATAAAATCCAGCTGAAGCATCTAACTACCGTCCAATAAGTTTGCTTTCTTCAATAAATAAACTTTTTGAAAAGATAATGTTTAATAGTATGATGCTTCACATCAATACGAACTCAATTTTTGCAGATGAGCAGTTTGGATTTCGCCATGGGCATTCAACTACTCATCAACTCTTAAGAGTTACCAATTTAATTCGTTCAAACAAATGTGAAGGCCACTCAACTGGAGTTGCTCTTCTAGACATAGAAAAGCATTCGCCAGGTTTGAGAAAAAGTTTAATTTTCTACTTTATATTATGAAATTACTTCAAGATTATTTAACTGGCAGCACTAGTCTATGTCTATAGTGGACCCTACACGTTTGCTTTTATTGACAATAATCGTATAGTCAATACATTCTATATTGACGTCAATACATCGGTATTGACAATAATTCTGTATTCACATAATTAATATTATTGTCAATAATTCCCCTTCGCGTCAATATATTGATACGTGTGGGGTTCGCTTATAATACAAAATCAATGTGTTCGCAAACATCGTAATCATAGAGGTAACTCTAAGACTTGAAGGTCCCGAAGAAACATGCTCAACTTTTTGGCAAAGCTCTGGTACTCTCTTCGGTCCCAAGCTAATCGAAACATAGGAAAATCAACTATCCCCTCATTTTATCTGTCAAACTTTCATAGCCAATCAAAACAAACATTGTGTAGTTCTAGAATTTCGACTAGAATGGGGTACGTTAATCGTTTGCTTGGGCACAATAGGGAAGTCAAGTATTGAGCCAAATTAAAATCGTTAGTTTCGTATTGATTGTTGTCATAATTGTATGTAGTGATATGGGGGACTCCATGGCCCAGCGGCGACCATGTTTGCTTACTAAGCAGCAGATCGTAGGTTCAATCTCAGGCTCCTTAACATAGTAGTGGAGGGTCGCATCGATGTATAATAACTGCTTATCTATCTTGTTGTGCAATTTCACTATTTTTGTCAAGTTATTATGTGGACCAAGTGAAGAAACGAATAATTCAAATATTACTTCTGTTCGCTTACAGTTCCTTGCACCTTAAACCCGCCATCACAGCCATGGATCGTAGCTGTTTACCCACGAGCAGACAGAGCTTCCGCAATCCCTTCGGTCGAAGACCATGGATGGAGCAGAGCGGTGCCGCGGCAGCAGCCGGCGGTGGTACCGGTATCAAAGGAATCGTTGCCGGTGGAATTACCGGCGGTATCGAAATTTGTATTACATTCCCTACCGAATACGTCAAGACACAGCTTCAGTTGGACGAGAAGGGTAAGATAGACAACTCGTTTGTCAAGAATAGAAAAAGAGCTAACTCGCGTTGGTTTCAATTTTCAGGTGCCACCAAACAGTACAACGGAATCGTGGATTGCGTGAAGAAAACTATCAAGACCAATGGCTTCTTCGGGCTGTACCGAGGACTCAGCGTACTGCTCTATGGATCGATACCAAAGTCAGCCGTGAGGTAGGAACTTTTTCTAAGCTGAAGTTTTTTGGAAACATATCTAATAATAAAATATTTCCTCGCTAGGTTCGGCGCCTTCGAGACATTCAAAGGATATCTCATGGAACCCAACGGCCAGCTGAGCACTTCGGGTAAATTGTTGGCTGGTCTCGGAGCTGGTGTAGCTGAAGCAATCCTAGCTGTTACACCGATGGAAACGGTGAAGGTGAAATTCATCAACGATCAGCGAAGTGGTAATCCCCGGTACAAGGGTTTCTTCCACGGAGTTGGATTGATTGTCCGGCAGGAAGGTTTCTCCGGTGTGTACAAGGGACTTACCGCAACTATCATGAAGCAGGGTTCGAATCAAGCCATGCGGTTCTACGTCATGGAGTCGCTGAAGGAAGTCTACAAAGGTGGAGATCAATCCAAACCAGTACCAAAGCTGATGGTTGGTGCTTTCGGTGCGGTAGCTGGTGCTGTATCAGTCTTTGGTAATACTCCCATAGACGTCGTCAAGACCCGTATGCAAGGCCTGGAAGCCGCTAGATACAAAAATACCGCTGACTGTGCTGTTCAGATTTGGAAAAATGAAGGCCCTCTTGCCTTCTACAAGGGTACGGTTCCACGATTAAGCCGCGTTTGCCTGGACGTGGCCATCACCTTCATGATCTACGATTCGTTCATGGAACTGTTCAACAAGTTCTGGCACTAAACGAACCAAAAATTGTCGTGCGTAAGATCCTAACATGACACGGAACACAAAAACCGCGCCGCCAATCTGCCCCTTGCTAACGCACCTGAATCACTTTTATCAGGGAACTGTCTCTGCAAAGATCCGATGGGAGCATTTGTAGAATGAAGTAATCAACCTCAATGTTAATTGTAGTCAACCTAGGCAGGAAAACGAATCTTAAAGAAAGAAGGATGCATTTGTGTTAGTCGCAACGAACATAGCTCGTTAGAGGGTGGGAATCATATTAATGTACGGGTAGATTGTAAGCACTGGAACCTAACGAGACTTGTAGAGTGCACAAACATGTAGCAAACTCCCCCCGGTAGTTTTCAATACGACAGGCGTACTCACTCGAGTCCATTTTATATAGAATATTTTTTTCTCGGGTTTTACTGTATAACAAACGTACTTTTCAACTTTTGTGTTGTGCAACGATTAACCATTCCATTTTGTGACCTTATTTTACTGGAGCTTATTCCTTATCAAAAAATGCATTCTTGCGGTGCATTAAAAAGAAACTGCAACATTCTGAACGCCTAATTATTTTTTTTTGTTTCTATAAGCGTCTAAATTTATAGTTTTAAACACAGTTTTCATTTTCAAAATTTTATCAACCGTGACCGTTACCCATAACAATCAGACGAAATCGGAAAACGATCAGAAAGTAATGCCTATTTATTGCTTGATGTGTAATATATTGACGTAGATGTACCATGCGAAGCTGAAATAAAGCGGATGTAACACTTAATTTATTGACGGGACTTCTATGTTTATTTTTGATTGATGACCGCTTCTAATGCTGCACCATGTATTAATCCTGGTATCTTCGACTTGGCATTGAATTGAATCAGAGGAATTAAGTTAAAGTTCTTCACAGCCCTCAACCCCTCAAGCCGTCAAGCCGTATAAGGAACACTGAGGTTGGTTACTGTGCCACGCATTGGACATGCTCATTTCGTCATGATGTACCTATGACCAAAATACTACCCAACATCTAGTTTAGTGGGGGATGGTCGTCGAATAGGGCTTATAACCAGTACAACTCTTTGCAGCTTTCCGTTATAGCAGTGAAAGGCTTCTGAACTACTCAATCTTACGCATTCTTGTTTCCTGGAACACCATCCAATCATACTGTATACCGGGCCAAGTAGCCTGTGGTTGACTTACGATCTCCGGTGTCGCCGGCCCAGTCAACATCTACGAACAACTTCAATTGTATGTGATGAACTAGCCTACGGCTAAAAATCACAAAAATAAAGAAAAAAAACTCCAATTGTGTGGGAGCTGATGCCAGGATTAACTCGTGGTCAATGGTACCTTTGAGATACATACATCAGGATACGCTTTGCCTTCATCCAATCAAACTGTCGTACTGTTGGTTACTGGGGAGCGAGATACCCTCCTTTGGATGCAGGTTCCCGGGGTCCAATGAGATTACGGAGGGCTTAGCCTTTTTCCAATCGAATCTGGTCAGAAGCTTCTGGATGTAGGTTATCTAACTTTTAGTCTTATAGACTTAACTTTCTGTCAGTGCGAACCTCCGGATAGGAAAAAGATGATAGAGATTTTATTCAATATCTCATCAATTTTTTTGTCAATGTTTTGAAAATTGCAGTTACAAAGCTCATTAATTATATTAATTATAACAGTATTTTTCCTTGTGCCGTGTTAATCCGTACAAACATTCACTTTATCGATTACATACTGTTGCTTTTTTTCCTTGATTTGTTTTTCCATCGATCTTGTTTTCCCGTACCAATGCAACCGACGCCAGAGAGGCCGCTCCCAAACCTGGACCCTACTGATCGACCCATCAAACTCATATATAGACCGGGGACCAACGGTTTTACTTCCCTTCCGAAGGAAGGCGTGATCAGATATGTTATGCCTCAGAACATACCGGCGGCGCCGACTGGGATTTAAACAAGGCCTTTTGAGGTGAGAGGCAATAACGTTTACCACTACACCACTGGCGCCGCTTATACCACAGACAAACAGACATAACACTAGCAAGTTGTTCATCGAACAAGCATTTAACGGTCAATTTAAAAGTATCGTAGTTGGTAGTACCGCCACCTGTGGCGCGCATAGTCAGTTCCCTTGCGTTTGACGTTTATACACTATCGCCATCTGTTCAGCGTACTACCCACCACAGTGTATTCAACAGATGGCGGTAATGTTTTAGCGACGATGTTTTACAGTGAGAAATATTCAATGTGTTATGTCTGTTTGTCTGTGCTTATACTGTTGCTTGTCCAAATTCATATAAATCAGTTAGAAATTTTGTTTTTAAAATCATTTGGATTTCTAGCATGACGGCCATGTTATTTACCTGATCTGATCAGGTACTTTAATTTGTAGTCTGTGAAAGGGACTCCCAAGGTTTCTTGACAGCACTGTCCTCTGTTAGCAACTAACGAAAAACAGTTTTGTCAATCAATACAAATGTCGAGAACCATCTACAACAATTACTCATCGCAGTTGAGGAAGTCATCCATGCCGCAAAAGAAGTCAGTAGACGTTGGAATGCATATGCATAGTTCGATGCAATATGAAATGGCCTGCTATTCTCTTCTAACTGGGTAGATAAGCTTATGTGCTAATTGTTAGTGAACAAATGTAATGTTGCATTGAAATACTTTATATCGTGTTAAATTTAAATGTTCCCTCATTTCACATCCGTTGAACCATTCTGAACGGCCATCCCGTTGAGGTTATATCACATCATTGCTAATAATGTATATATCTATATCTTTTCCGGTACCATGGAGTCAACAAAGTAAAAGTGAAAGAAGCGCTGCAAAATGGAGCACATGCGATACGAAAATGAAGTGATGCTCGTTAAGAAAATACCCGGAGACACTGTTCATTTTCCATATTGGTGTTACGGTTTTATAAGACGCAACTAGGAACTCAAGATCATCATACAAAGATAATGGACTGCCCACTGCTATCGGACAGTTTCCGTGCTACCTTGAGTGGTAGACAATTATCACACATCATCATGTAAGAAAGATGCTACCGAAAACGTATACTAATGCGAGGGGAAATCTCAATTCTAGACGCTCAAAAAATCTCACACTAGCCAATAAATCTTTGAAAAATCTTCTTTCATTTCTCGCATCTACTTGCATCGCGCATCATCTTTTTGCACGAAATCTTCAAAATCGTGATAAATCTTCTTTTTATCTACTCAGCGTACGCGCAGCTAGCTACAGCAAAACACAATATTTCCTGCACCGTATATAGAGTCGTCCCCCTCGTACTAATGGATATTTTTGGTCGTTATTGAAAATTCAGTCGATTGCTGAATTTATGTATGGGCCCAAATTAGAGGCATTAAGGCCGACATTACATCCATTTCCCCTAGTAGACCATTTGTGCACGATCTGTTTGCGCTTCGCATTGTCATGGAAATGTAAAGAACTGACACTTGCGATACACGAAACTGTTGGTCGAAATGTAAACAATGATTCAGCGTGATAATCAGCTGTTTAAACGTCATCTGAAACAAGTATGGGCGTTCCAAGTCGTGCTTAGACATTCTGGGACACCCTATAGCATAGGTAATTTGGAGGGGTGAGCTTTTATTTGCAAGAAATCAACAGCTAAATCTATTGTTTACAAAAGCAATTACGTCCCTTTGAAAAGTTGGCACTGAAATGTAAACAAACACAAAAACACGTCATAAGTGTGCGTGACGCTGAGAAATTGCTAATAGAAGCGAGAACACTGCTAAGATTGACGAAATTACGTAAATTCCCAAAGTCCTGCCGGTGAAAACGAGAGAAAACTTTCGACGAAGCGCATCACGGGTGAGATGAAAGTCGTAGACATATACAACTCTAGTGAAAACTCTCTGCAGCCCACAAATCGCACCGTTCACACTTAGAAATGATTATCGTACTTTCAACAGATAACAGCGAAATGACTACCAAACGATCGGTAAACAGATTTTTTGATGAACTGCCTCAAATCTACCGAAATTACTTTCATTGTTGTTTTCATTGAAGTATTACCAACAATCAATACGAAACTAACGATTTAAAATTGGCTCACTACTTGACTAGTCTATTGGTCCCAAGCAAACGATTAACGTATCCCATTATAGTCGAAATTCTAGTACTACGCAATGTTTGTTTTGATTTGCTATGAAAGTTTGACAGATAAAATGAGGGTGAATAAGCGGGGTCGACAAAGGCGCGAGAATCGGTGACAATCGAACACTATTTGTTTGGATTGAGGTGTATATTTCGACTGATCTGTCGGTCCAGCACAGAGATCTGATCTCTGCTGGGAGAATCAATATGTGAAAACGGATTGGCAAAAGGCCTTTCCGATCGATCACTGCTTCGATAGCCGAAAGCAGTGATAAGCTTATCTAACTGTGTTGCTGTATACATATAATGATCGAATGTGTAGTGTGATACAGAGGACGGAAATTCAATTATATGCTAAATCAGCACGAGTATTTTCTTGTTAGGGTGGTGCTCTAACATATGCCGGCCCCCGTTGAAAGTGTCGCCTTTCAACCAAGGAACACGATATCATCGGCTGCTTCGGTTCGCTTCGGTCGTCGGTACTGGTAAACGATTGGGTATCCTCGTGTTTGTTTGGTCTGCTACTTCTCATCTGGTTGTTGTTGTTTTGATGATCAGCTGTTTTCCTCCCACGACTAATCATATTCCAGCTCGGCTCGGATGACGTCACGGGATTCCTCACACGACAGTTCTTCTTCGGGTTGCAGGTAGCTTTACAGGGTTGTAGCTCGGTAGTCTTCAGTGTTGGGCATACTCGGATTGAGTAGCCATCGATGAACCAGGACATGTCGGAGGATGAAAAATTCTTAAGTTTTTTGTAAATTCAATTAAATATTAACTTACAGGGTTGGAGGCCCGCAGGCCTCCCGTTGCGCAACGCCGTAGCGATGCGATAGAAGACTCATTGCTCTGAGTTTGGGTTGGCCGGACTAGCGACGTCCGTTGTGGGTTGGCGTATCGGCAGGACGCATATCTTGGAGATGGACCGTGTGTACTCCCCGTCGGCCGTCCGCACGACGACTACACGGATGTTCTTATCCTCGCCACGGTAGACACGGGTGATTCGGCCGTACTTCCACTTCAGGGGTGGAAGGTTGTCCTCCTTGAGCAGCACTAGAGTGCCGACGTCGATGTTGTCCCGCTGTTGAGTCCATTTCGTACGTGGGTGTAGGCCAGAGAGATAATCGGTGCTCCAACGCTTCCAAATGCGTCGGAGAAGTTCGTTGTTCTCCTGCCAACGGTCGAGGCGGTTTTTTGGGATCTCGGACAGG